TTGCAAACTACAATAAACTTCTTGATTGTGAACTATCTTTCTATCAACAAAAAGCTAGGATTGCATGGAATCTTCAAGGAGACAGGTGCACCAGCCTATTTCATACAGTTACAAAATCAAACAAGCATAATAACAGAATTCTGGTTTTGTACAACAACAAAGGGGAAAGAATTTCTGATATTGAGGGGATTGCACAAGAACTTACATCATATTACAAAAATCTTATGGGTACTATTGTAGTTACAAGGCCCCCCAGATATTAACATAATTCAAGCAGGACCATGTTTAGATCAAACACAAGCCAGGAATTTGTCTAGGCCTATCTCTAAAGAAGAAATAAAAGCTGATGTCTTCTCTATGCCAGATGATAGGGCACCTGGACCTGATGGATACAATGTCTCCTTTTTTAAATCTTCTTGAGATATAATTGGTGATGAGGTAACACAAGCTATAGAGGAATTTTTCAAAACTGGTAAACTTCTGGGCATGGTGAATTCAACTTCTATCACTTTGATTCCAAAGGTACAATGTCCAAAAAACCCTTCAGATTTTAGACCCATTTCTTGCTGCAATTATTTGTACAAGTTCATCTCTAAAATTTTGTCGAACAGAATGAAACCTATAATGGGATATTTGGTAAATGAAGCACAATTTGCTTTTGTGAAGGGAAGACAAATTTCCTCTAACATTATGTTGGCACATGAGCTTGTTAAAAGCTATGGTAGGAAACATCTTTCCCCAAGGGTTATGCTAAATATATAGACATTAGAAAGGCCTTTGATTCTATCAGTTGGAGTTTTCTCTCTGATTTGCTCCATGGCTTGGGTTTCCCTATGGCTATGATTAAATGGATTTTGGCTTGCATATCCTCTCCAAAATATTCAATATCTTTAGATGGAACTCTTCATGACTGTTTCAAGGGTGAACGGGGACGAAGACAAGGAGATCTTCTTTCTCCATATTTGTTTATTTTGGGTATGGAGTACCTCTCAAGGAGTTTGGGTGTGTTAAAGAATGATAGGTTATTCAAATTTCACCCAAAGTGTGCCAAATTTCAGATCAATCATATCATATTTGCTGATGATTTGCTCTTATTTGCTAAGGGTGATCTTTATTCTGTGCAAAAACTATATACATGTTTACAGGAATTCAGCATCACTTCAGTCTTGAGGCAAACCGAAATAAATGCTCAATTTACTATGGGGGAGTTGAAGATTCAGTGAAAAACTCCATTAACAGCTGCCTGGGTTTCTCTGAAGTTGTAATGCCTATAAGATATTTGGGAGTTCCTCTAATAACCAAAAGGTTATCTTTCTTAGATTGTAATCCTCTCTTCACAAAGATAACTGCTCAACTTCAAAAATGGAAGAATCAGAGAACCTTATATTATGCTGGACGGATACAAGTCATCAAAAGTGTGGTTCTTGGCATTCAAACTTTTTGGACATCAAACTACATTCTTCCTATCAGTGTGTTACAGAAAATTGATGAACTCTGTAGGAACTTCTTGTGGGGAGAATCAGACCAAGCTTTAAAGATTCCTCTTATTTCATGGGAGAGGATATGCCTGGAGAAGAAGAAAGGTGGCTTAAGGATTTACTCTGTCATTACTTGGAACATAGCTTCTACACTGCGTTGTATCTGGAATATACACATCAATAAAGAATCACTATGGATTAAATGGATCCATGACACTTATTTAAAGAACATGGATATTTGGCGGGTAAATGCTAAACCTGGAGACTCTTGGATGTGGAAGCAGTTGATAAAAACTAGAAATAAAGCAGTGGTTTCTTGCGGAGGTGTTGAAATTTTGAAAAACCTCATCAATTCTTGTTACAAGAATGGTAAAGTGAAGTTATCAGCACTATATATTGCTCTATCCTCTTCAACAGAGTGTGTAGCATGGTCTAATACAATTTGGCAGAACCTTAACGTTCCTAAACACTCTTTTATAAGCTAGCTAGCAATCCATGACAGACTCCTCACACGGAACATGTTGCTGAAGTTGGGGATTACAAATTCAAATTTGTGCTGTCTTTGTTCTAAGTCAAGTTGTGAGAACAGAAATCACCTGTTCTTTGAATGTAGTTTCTCGTGTGAAGTCTGGAATAATATCATGAATTGGCTGGGGTTCAAATGGAGAGCTTGCAACGGGCTTCGTCTCCTGAATTGGTACACTAACAGGTTGAGGGGTAAAGGTTGCAAACAAAAATTAAAAAGAATGTCGCTTACTACTACTATCTCCTACATATGGTGGGAGCGCAACATGAGGATTTCGCAGCAAAAGAGCATAAGTGTAGATCAGTTGGTCAGGGAGATCAAAATTGACATCCAAATAATAACCCTTCCTTTTCTAACAGTGATTGTTTGCCATCTTGAGGCTTAGTTCTCTGTTTACAGCATTTTTTGGTTTCTCAGTTTTTGTTTAAAAAAGTTGAGCATCATGATGTACATAACACTTTCATATTTGATAAATGAATAAAAATTTTCATTGACCAAAAAATTGCCTAATTAAATTAATTAGGGCTATGTTTATTGATTTTAGATTAGTTTTAGGGGTAATTAATATTAGGGCTAGATTTTGGGCAAGGATTAGTCAATAGAGTTGACTGGGGTTAGATTTTGGTTAAGGGTTACTCATTTAGGGTTAATATCAATGATTAATTAGGGCTATTTTGGGTGTTTATTGATGAATAATTAGGAGGGTTTTGGATGTTTAGAGGGGGTGGTGAAGCTTAACTTTTTCTCAAACGAGTGGCGACCTTCGACGACGAGCCTTTGACCACGTGATCGACTAACGAGCAGGGGGCGAACTTTGACGATGAGTAGTAGCACACTTCGATGACGATGAGTAGCGGCAGCCCTAGACCAGTTCAACGACGAGCAACAGCGACAGCCTTCAAGCACTTTGACGATGACGATAAGCAATAGACTTTGACAACGCACTTCGACGATGACCAGCAAGCGCACGACAGCTAGCCTTCGACCACTTCGATGACGACAAATAGCAGCGTCCTTCATCGACTTCGACGACGAGCAGCGATGACAAGCTTCAACGACGATGGTGAATGACGTCCTTCGGCGAGCGGTGAGGAATCTTCAAGGATGCAATGAGCCAGATCTGGTGAAAAGGTAAAGTTGAAGTTAGGGGGCAAAAAATATGCTAACATCCTAGATAGATCAGCTATCTAGGATGTGGGCCCTATTTGTTTGAAAAAATCGCCTGGAATCACATCCCCAACGGCAAGTCCGCCTGCAATACATGCATTTTCGACGGATTTTCGTAGACTGTTGTAATCCGTCTATAATACCGCATCCTAGATGGATATTTGTCCGTCTAGGATGTGTTGTCTATGATGGTATGGTCTCTAATAGTGACTTAAATACTCTCAGTTGCGTAAACTCAAAGGTATTAATTAAGTGCACGTTTTAAAGACTTTAGTTTGATGTATTTACATGTTAAGAGCTTTGCTACAGGGACCCAAAATATGGGACCAATAAAGGGGACAAGTGAGGTGTCCCCCTTCTATTGGATAATGAATTGGCCATCATTAATGATGGCCAACTCATTATCCAATAGAAGGGGGACACCTCACTTGTCCCCCCTATTGGTCCCATATTTTGGGTCCTTAAAGAATTTTTCAAATGAAAATTTTAATAATTTCAGGCTATATTAAGTGCAAAGTAGATGTGACTATAGGTTATTTAAGTGCAATTAATTAAGCCCTCATGATTTCTGTCCCTCATTCAATTCGTCTAACAGTTACCCCCAACCACACTACCCTAACTTTGTTGAACTTCTTTTACTTTATTTAAACGAACAAGCCCTAGTCAAAAAAAAAGTACCACTACATACTGTGAAAATGAGGTTGCTCAGAAATCCAATAGTCTTCTTCTTCTTCGTCTTCTTCTACCTTAGTCCTTCTGAGGTTGAGATCTTAGCAATGGCTAAGGATTCTCCTTCAACTGCACCGCTTGTGCCCGCATTAATCGTGTTCGGGGACTCGATCATGGACCCTGGAAACAACAATGACATTAATACCATCGTCAAGAGTAATTTCCCACCCTATGGTGTCGACTTCACCGGTGGCAAGCCCACTGGCAGATTCTGCAATGGAAGGATCCCTTCTGATTTTATTGGTACATATATACACATAGAGTTCTATATATAGCTTGTTTGCGCTGTTAATTTCCTTATTCCTTCCAAACTTGTCTTGATTTCTATATTTAACTCCTACAATTTGTGAGGTTATTTTTCATAGTTTACACTTATGTTTGCTTCCATATATACTTGTCAAATTATGTTTGGCATAAAAAAAAAATTCTTTTAATTAATCATTTGATTACACACAAACATAAAATTATTAATTTTACATTTTCTCTTTGGCTTTAATTTTTAAAGTATAGCTCGTAATCTCAATCATAAATCTAGAATCATTATTGAAGTTTTTTGGATTTGGGTCTTCTCCGCTACAAGAATGTAGAGAGGAGATCTCTATATTTATTGCAATCACGTGTTAATTTGTCTAGCATGTACGTGGTTGTGTTTCGTTTCAAATCTAGCAGTCATCGATAAATTGAATTTGTTCGTAATTTACACTCAAAATACAAACTGTACTTATCCACTAAACGAATTAACCGTTCTCATAACATTGTAGTGATCTCTCCAATACCTGTTTGTGTGTGGGTGTGTTTGGAGGATTTGAATTCAAGTCTTTTTTTTTTTTTTTTTTTTTTTTTTCTCTCCAATACCTGTTTGTGTGTGGGTGTGTTTGGAGGATTTGAATTCAAGTCTTTTTTTTTTTTTTTTTTTTTTTTTTTTTTTTTTTTGGTACTTAACGTGAAAAAAGGCGGGGCCATTTGCGTCCTGTTCCATTAATTACTCATAACGAAACAATGGCTTCCCAAGTGAGATGGTAAGTACAAGCTTACACATCAGCTAAATATATGAAAGGTACTTAATTTAGTTACAATGACTAAGTAATTCCTTAATGCAGCTTCTAAACTTGGATTAAAGGAGGACTTACCAGCTTATGTGGGCGCTAACCTAGCCCCTGAAGACTTAATCACAGGTGTAAGCTTTGCCTCAGGTGGCGCTGGATACGATCCTCTTACTTCAAAAGTTGCGGTATATAGACTACTTTAATTACCTCAATTTCTATTATTTTGTTTGGTTACAAATATACATATATATGAATTGTTAATTATGTTTTAGTCAGCGATATCACTTGATCAACAACTAGAGCTGTTCAAAGCATACAAAGAGAAGGTAAGAGCAATCACAGGAGAGGACAGAGCAGCTACAGTCTTCTCTGAGAGTTTATACATCGTATGCATAGGGAGTGATGATGTGGCAAATACGTATTTTCCTACTCCTTTAAGAAAGAGGACCTACGATGTACCATCGTATGCCAACCTGTTAGTAGGTTTTGCTTCTGAGTTTGTGCAGGTAAAACTTTTATTTTTCCTGATTAAATAGTTTACTGCATGAACTGATTAGTAATTAATACAATACATCAACACATATAATTTAATCACTGGGTTTTATATGGTGTGTGTAGTAATATATATGATGTGTGGAGTACGTAGTTTTGTGTATGAATTATGAATCCTATCGTTTAATATGTTACATGTTCCCGCAGTGGCGGACCTATGTTAGTTCAAGGTGGTTCACTTGAACCACCTGAAATTTCAGAAGACACTATATATAACATATATCTCAGTTACCAAACAAGAAGAATTTTCAGCCTAGTGGAAAAGCCAGAGCATCGAATGTTTGTTAAACAGGGAAGTTCTAGGTTCGAATCCAGCTTCTTTTTTTTCATTTTGAGCTTTGTTGTTTTAATTCATTTTGTTTAGTATTAGTATGTAATAGTATGAAATGCTTCACTTCAATCTGAAATTAATTATCTGTTTACCACACTATGGACTATAAATTTTTCTCTATAATTTTGATGTGTTTTGCTACATTCTACATCTATTTTACAATCATCATTATTTAATGTATTTTACTCCATCTTTTTTACCACCATCCAACTCAAATTTCTTGGATAAGTATTTAATTTTCTAATAATTTCTTTTAAATTTACATGAATATTCATTGTATTAGTTTATTGTATGAGTTTCTTACATAGTTTTCTCATCTCTATCAATTTTGGGCCTGAATGTGTCTGCATACTATTTTCTAATAAAAAAATCGGGATCTATCAAGTAGAACTATATGTACTGTAGCCTAGGACTTATATTATTGTATTGTTAGACATTAAAAAAAATGAACTTTTCTTGTAATTTATCAGAGAAAAATTCATAGCTTATATGGATTAATTTTACTTTTCGTGCCTGGTAGCATACTGGTCGTGTAATTTTTAGTGAGTATTTTCCATGTGCTTCTAAAGAAATTAAGGATGTTTTCCGGAGGGGTGGTAATTTGTGACCCGTCTAGGTCACTTTATATGGGTCGGTTTGTAATCGGGTCGACCCGAAAAATCCATTTATTAATCGGGTTATAAACAGGTCAACCCGCTGACCCGTTTAATTTTAACTCATTTACTATTGAACCCTTATCATTCAAAACTTTTACAAACACACCCATAAAAAATCTATACTTACAAACACTATAAAATCTATAAATTACATACACCACTGTCAACAATTTGTGATTAGCATAAAACACCCTTAGAGGTTCGAAAGGTAAAAAACATCCTCAAAAGTTAGAAATTTACCAAAAACCATGAAAATATTAAAACTTACAAAACAATACAAAAATCTACATTTATATACAACACTATGACAATTTTGTAATTTGCAAATAAACCCTAAAGTTTCAAAAACTACAAAATGCACCCTCACAAAGTAAAATTTATAAAAACACACACCAGAAGTATCAAAATCGATAAATAATACGAAAACTAAAACTTATAAACAGTACCATGAAGATTGTGCAAAAAACACCCTGAAGTTTCAAAAGTTGCAAAAATACCCAACATATGTCAAAAATTTTAAAAAAATTGAAACTTTCAAACAGTGCAAATTTATAGTTTATAAATTACAAAACCCCGCTGAAAGTTTTGAGTTTTGCAAAAAAACAACCTAAATGTTTCAAAAATTACAAAATACATGCACAAAAGTCAAACTTTTTCATAAAAACTCCCCAAAAATATCAAAACCTATAAAAAAGTATAAAATCTATAAGTTTTAAGCAGCACCATGAAATTTAAAAAATTAGTAAAAACACCCTTCAAGTTTGAAAATTTGCAAAAACACCCTCAAAAAGTAAAACTTTTACAATAACACGCCCAAATACATCAAAATTTAGAAACAATACAAAATCTATAAGTTATAAACAAAACCACTAAAATTTTAAAATATGTCAAAAACACCCTAAAATTTTTAAAATTGCAAATACACCCTCAAAAAGTTAAATTTTATAGAAACAGACCGCAATTATTCAAAACTTAAAGAAGTACAAAATTTATAACTTATCGATGGCAGCATGAAAATTTTGAAATTTTCAAAAAACTCCCTAAAAGTTATAAAATTGTAAAATACACCCTTAATAAGTTAAATTTTACAGAAATACATGCCACATATATGAAAACTTACAAGCAGTATAAAATATATAGCTTATAAATAGTAAAAATTTTCATGTTTGCAAAAAAAAACACCCTAAAAGCTTCAAAACTTACAAAAACCACCCTAAAGTTCAAGTTGTCAAAAGTTACAGAGTATAAAGTTTATAAATTAGAAAAAATCCCTTGAGAAAATGACATATTTTAGCAACAAATCAAATAAATCTAAGTGAAGTGCTTGGTGTATTGATTTTTTTTGGAAAAAGAAAAAGTGCTCTTCTTATTCCTAATGTTCGAGAGAACGCGAAACCACTAACTATACTTGCCTAGCACTAAACAATACAAAACGTATGAATGATAAATAGGACCATAAAAACTTTAACCATCAACTTTATGTTAAGTACATGAAAATCATAAAACAATTAAATGGGCCACTTGGGTTGATGGGTAACCCATTTAATAAATGGGTTGACCCGATTATTTAATGTGTCAGGTCGGGTCAATATTATACAAGTCGAGTCAAAATTTATATTGGGTTAGGTTGGGTGTGGTCGACCCGTTTGTCACCCCTAGTTTTTGGCAACTCCATGCTAATCCGGAAAAGGCCTTTAACATGAATAGGACTGAACCAAGGTGTTAAGGATCTCTTTTTTGAAGGGGGGGAAAAGTAGTTCAATCTTATATCAGTTTTTCCCAAACACATTAACCCTTAACCAATTAATTCTATTACCCTAGTTTGTGGGTGAATTGCCAAGACGCTTGCACAATGAGAGTCAAGGACGTATCTGCTCCCAGCAAAGTGGTGTAAGTGTCATCAATTTGTTCTAGAAGAACTAGGACCTCACCCCTACTAAAATTTAAAGAACCAGTCGACCCAGTTGAATGAATTCACATATTTTAGCGAGCAAAGCCCTAACACGGAATATCCAAGATCTAGTGCAAATAAACATTGAAAATATGCAACCCAAAATCGATCCACAAGCTTCAAACTAAGAACATAAACAAGGTAAAACAAGTATTTTATGTGGTTCACCTTAATGGGCTGCATCCATGGGCAAGGAGAATCAATGGATTATTCCACTATTTTAATAACAATATATATACATGATTTGTAGGTTCATGAGAACACGCATCAATCACTTAAATACACCAGCTAACAACCCTTATCTACAAAACTAGTAGGTTCATGAGAACACTCATCAGATCATTGTATACACCAACCAACAACCCTTATATCTACAAATATACAAGCAGTAAGAGAAATTGTGTTTAAATCAGTTGAGGAAAACGCTAATTAAATAACAAATTGTGTTTTTGCAGAAACTCATTAAAATGGGCGCGAAGAAGATTGGCGTCGTGGGAATTCCGCCGATTGGATGTGTTCCTTCACAAAGAACTCTAGGTGGGGGAATCTTCAGAGCTTGTGCCACTCCTCAGAATCAATTAGCGACTTTATTCAATTCAAGGGTCAGCACGGAGATCCAAAGAATCAAAACAAAATTTCCTGGGACAAGGTTGGTCCTAGCTGACATATACGGCATCTTATATGATATCATTCAACGCCCAAAAAACTATGGTAAGTCAATCATCTTTGAATATTTACCCAAATATCTAACGTCGAAATTTTCTTGACTATTAATCAAGTATACTAAGTTTTTATTGCTAAATTCACGCTTGTTCATCTCATATAGTTCTTTTTCAGAATATTGGTTATATTTGTCACACACCTTGTTGTTGCCATGAAAAAGGGATTAAGTGGAACAGAATTCGTTGCTACCATTATTATATATTATATTTATTTAACTTTTATTTGAAAAGAGCATTCAAATTGCTTTGATTTCCGTAAATTAATTCCTCTCCAAATTCATATTAATTTGCCCCCTCTATGTAGGAGCTACTGAACTGTTTGTTTGTTTGGGTTGTTTTATGCGATCTTCTGTAGGACTTGAGATTTCAGCAAAGGGATGTTGTGGTACTGGAAAATTGGAGGTTTCTGTACTATGCAATAGTCTCACATCGTCAGTGTGCTCAAATGTCTCAAAATACGTATTTTGGGACAGTTATCACCCAACCGAGAAGACGTACAAAGTTCTTGTGGACTTCTTGTACGAGAAATATATTCCCCAGTTGATCTAGAATTATATATATTCGTGTGGTGATCTAGAAGGTGTGTTATGGACTGGTCTCCAATTTCTCCTGCATGTATCATTGTTTTCCCTTTGATTCAAATGTGTGTGTGTGTGTGTGAAGAACAGTACGTTCAATTATCTTGAGGATGGATCGAGTATTCAGTAAATGTCACTTTATTTTTATTTTTCATTTTTTATGCGCTTGTCACACCTGAGTATGCATGAATTGGTCCGCCAAGAGATTCCTTCGACCTAATTATATATTACATTGTTACCCGCTGAGGGTGACCTGGACAAATGGGAGGTTCCAATCCGACCCTCACTCTTTTTGGTTCAATTCCAGACTGGATTATCAAGTACGTGTGTTTATATTGTTCTAGATTTAAAACTTTTGCGTCAATGTGTAATTTGGTGAGTTTGATTCCGTAAAGTTTATTGAAAGAGTAATGCAAATGTCAATCAATCATAGATGAGCCACCATGATAATTAGAGTGAATTGTTTGTACCCCGATAAGCCGAAACTTTTATGAAACAAAAGCCTAGAGCCTTATCATCATATTCCCCCAAAATCCAAATATAAAATATTACAATTTATGAAAACATTGACTATAAGAATTCCTTTTAAGGAAAAAGAGATATTATGATTCTTTCGTACGTCTTCCCTTTATGATTATCGGAATGTGGGAAGAAAGATCACGCCATTGAAGGTAATTAACTATCTATTTCATGTTGAGACGTATGATATTGCAAAATTTTAAATATATGAAAAAAGGAACAAATAGATAGAAAACATGGTACTATTTTTTCAATTCCGAGCATAGGAAAGTTAGCTAAAAGAAATGAAAAAAAAAACTTTTAGATCTTTCTAATTCTTCTAGTGTTTTTTTTTTACTTAATGAAGTTTCTATTAGAATTGTTAACAATCTTTCCCCAAATTTCATTAGACCTCCAATTTTCTTGACATTTGCACTCTAGTCTGCTCGACTACAAAGTATATCAAATTGTAAGAATATTTTCTCTCTCTTTTATTTATTTTTTTAAAATTATGTGGATCTTAATATCTTATATAGATTTTCAGTTTAGCCTTTTGGCTTTTGCTATTTCCCGCTAAAAATGGGATTATGCTCCCTTTTCCATCAAACAAATTACTCTAGAACAAACGGAATGATTCGTAACCGTAACATTAAAAGGCGGAAAGGATATGGAATATTTTAACAGCTTTGCTTTGGTACACCAATAATGATTTTTTTTCATTTTTTTAAATATGTACAAAAGAAGAAATAGGCTGAATAGTTGGAGGGATCTTTTGGTAATTTTTAATTAAGTTTACTTTTGTATATATATTTCTCTTTCTGAAACTGTTCCTCTACTTCCTCCCATAACGTCCCTTACTATCGTTACAGATTAGGAGCAGCCATAAATAATTTTCAATTTAAGAATGATAAGGAAATGTCTATAAATTAATCAAAAAGAAAATAAAAGAAAAGGCTATGAAATACGAATAAAACTATTTTCATAATGCCATGAATATATTATTATTATTTTAATTATATAAAGAATAAACCCAAAAAATAACTATTTATCCCAAGATTCTACAATGGGATTCCAACAATAGAAAACTGAAATTTTCAAAAAATTTCGAGAAAGAGAATGCACGTAATCAGCTAATTTAGTAAATATAGTGCGGGAAAATAAAAAAAATAAAATATTAGACAAAACTCCACTTTTGAGATATTTGACAAAGATTTTTCATTGTCTTTTTTGAGAAAAAAGATTTTTGACAAAGGTGAAGAATCGTATCTTCACATATGATTGCTGATCGTATGATAAAAATGTCAAGCGAAGTCAGTTTTAAATAACCAGAGGAAAGAGAAATCAAACCCAAACTAGGCACTAGTTTTTGCTTTAATTACGAATTTGACAGCGAAAGTGAAAAGATTTTTCAGTTGGAGGTGAGATCTACAGTGAGGAAGAAAATCACGGAAAAAATTACAACTGCTGCCATAACTTAATTTTCGGAGTAAAAGCTGTCAGCGTATTTTAATAAAAAAAATCAGCAATATTAATATTTTCCATATATTTGTGGCCTCATAAAATCAACTTCCTCCTTTTATTGAGGCAAAAATGAAGCAAATTGTAAAACCTCCATTTCTATTTAACAAAGAAAGAAGAAGATGCTCGCAATGACTTCTTTCATTAAAAATGAAGAAGAAGAAGATGACGCCGTCAAGAAATTAACTACCCACGACCGCCGTTTCCGTTCCGTCTCCGCCTCATGGGACCGCCACGTGTCCTCGCTTCTCTTCCTCCACACCCAGTCTTACACCCACCTCTCCCTCTCCGGCCTCTTCACGAACTCGCCCCTCGCCTGTTTCCCTCTGGACCCCACATCCCACTCGATCCCCGACCCCACCTTCTCCTTCCTCCCCTACTCCGAAATTACCGTCCTGTCCTCGTCCCACGGCCTGATCTGCTGCGTCGCGGATGGCGCGTACGTCATCTGCAACCCCTCGACGATGCAGTGGACCCCACTCCCGAAACAAAAATCCGGCCGTGCCGTCAATTCTAACGCCGTCGTCGTCTTCAGACCCTCCGTCTACAACTTCAGGTCCGATTACTTCGTCATTTGTCCGTTCGAGATCGGGTCCGGATCCGGGGTTTTCGGGTTCGACGTATTCGAATCCGAATCACGTAACTGGCGAACCTCCGAAGAGACTTG